GGGATGCACTCTGGCTTCTGCGTCAAGGAAGCAGCTTCTCAACATCTTGTATAGAAATGACACTCAAGAAAGATAAACACCTTGGCTTGTTTTCAGACTTCTACAAAGCAACAAAACACAGAAATACACTTTTTTATTTGGAGAAGAGCGTATTCAACATTTTCTGCAGTTTGATACAAGGCTGAAGTAGTAGTTGTGATATATAAAGACAGAGGTATAAAGATTTGTAGCATTGTGTGGTGTTTTATTTTAAAATTCCTGGAGTTTTCACAATTGCAGTATTTTGAGGAATTCCATTTTGGAGAAGAGATGTCAGGGCAAGAAATGATAGTTAATCATTGAATCTACCTCTCTCTTCATGGCTCCAAATTCTCAGGACTCTTGACCTTCTCACTGTTAGGCCAACTTGCTAACATGTCAGCACAGGAAATGGCCAACTGGAAACAGCTGGCCACTGCCTGTCCCAAGCAGAGGGTAACACTAATCTTCCATGTCTAATAAACAGTTTAAGTGCTTGCTAGTCTATAGTGATTTTTTTTTGTTTTCATTTCTGATATACTTACATTTCTGATAAATAAACTTCCATGTTACAGTCAAATAATAATCTTGTCTTCAGTATTTATAAATATTTCTTGTTCATTATAGGTATCATCCAGTTAGATTTTGGGCCTTGGAGCCAAACCGAGTAGGATTTAAATCCCAACTTTGTCACTAAGCATATGTTCCTGAGCAAAATGAATTAAGTAAGAGAAAGTGAACAAATACATGTTATTCTGGGGACAGAGAACACATCCATAAATGATAAGTAATGGTATCCAGATTTGATATTGGCTCATGGCAACATTTACCCTAATCTATGAAATAATGTCACTTCCTCCCACATTCATATGTTATGATGACTTCTCAAGTGAAAAGATCCTATATTGAGTTGGTTTGAAAGTATTTCTGATATATGGGATAAACCTGGAGTGGCAGTTGGCAGAACAGTGAAGAATTCTCAGGCCCAGCCACTCCCTCCAGAGTCTGGACTTCTCAACCTGACCTAAATGTGGGGATAGAAGACAGAGTTAGGATTCATGGATGCAAGGAAGTAAAGTAGGAGAAGGCACTGTGGACACAGGCGTGGTGTTCAGCAGAAACCCTTGTGAAGGTCTGTGTAGGATAGAGGTGGGAAGAGGAGGCAAAGGTGAAGACTGAAAACCTTCTTGACTGCTAAAACAGTGACCCAGACAAGGAGACGGGCCCCTACAGCAGAAATGGAAGGAAGCAGCTCTGAGAGCATGCAGAGTGGTGGTCAATAGAAATCAGTCCTGTCTTTGGAGTTGCTGACTCTGGAGCCTGAGGCAAGGATGGTGCCTTAGCCTGCTTTGTGCTGCTAGAACAGAACATCGCGGGTAATTTATAAAGAAGAGAAATTTATTTGGCTCATATTTTAAGGCTGAGTGTTCAAGGGCATAACAGTCACATCTGCTCAGCATCTGGCGAGAGTGTCATGCTGTGGCATTGTCTCATTCTGGAAGGTGAAAGAGCAAGAGAGTTGGGGGGGAGCTCATTTCCCTTTACACTTTTTTTTTTTTTTTTTTTTTTTTTTTTTTTAAAAAAAAAAAAAAAAAAAAAAAGAGGACGATAAATCTTTCACTGTGATATATCAAAATAA